GGGGGGCCCTTCCTGTTTCCTGTACTCCAAAGGAACCTTGGCTTCGTGGGTCTGGTTTTCCATTAAAGTTGTGCAAATACTTATCACAATTTGTCTGCATTAATCTAAGCTGCCACATCACACTGGCCCGGGGATAGCTGGCCTGCCCCTCAGGGGAAAGCTGCCGCTGCCTTGGGAAAGTGGCCCCAGCCCTCACCACAGGTATGTACCTTACCTGGGCAGCACACTAGAACTGACCCTGTGGTCAGGGGTGCAGGACTGAAAGTGAAGAGCTGATCCCTGACCCCAGGCAGTGGCATGGGTGAGGGAAAGATGCCCCTCCCCCAACTCTTGCTACCTGGTGGCCCCAGGGTCACCAGAGGGAGAGAGCTCACCCTGCCCCACACCAGCTACAATACACAAGAGAGCGGGCCCTGCACCTCACATGGGCAGCACACGCAACAGAGCTGGCCCTGCCCCCTCACATGCCCCTGCACTGAGTGTGTGTGACCTGGAGAATCAACCCAGCTCCCTGCTGCAGGCTGCACTGGTGAGGCAGCTGATGCAGTGCTGAAAAGCTCACTCAGGGCAGTGACAAGGAGGGAAGCTGGCAGGTAACCAACCCAGCTGCCACCCAGGCCCAGAACCAGGGCTATGAGTTTGCCCACCCTAACACCACCACATCTATGAACTGCTGGCACATGTGAAGAGGATGAACCTACAAGGTATCCAAGAGGAGCCCCAGTGAGAGCCCATTATCAGGGCTGCAGCAGAAACCAGAGGCCTAGGGCCAGGCCAATGGCTCCAATGACTCCTGGCAGTGAATACTTGAACGTCAAGACGAACGGACAGGCTCAAGGTAACCTGTGCGGCACAATGGGCAATGCTACAGCTTCCACGACAAGGTTCTCCTCCTTTCTGTTTGTTTCTTGTTATGTTTGGTCTTTGGTTTTTCTTTTAAATTTTGTGTTTTTTTCTTGGGGGGGTAGGGGGCTGCTGCAAGGGCAGAGGTCAGATCCGAGGGGACAGGGAGATAAGTGGGATTGGAATGCATGATGTGAAATCCACAAAGAATCAATAAACGTTAACAGAATAAAACAAAACTGATTTTCTCTGGTATTGGCATCACTTTATTGGTATCCTGAAGATTGCCTTTGCTTAGGGAAGTAGGAGGGGCTCGAACACCATTCCTCCCAGCACAGCCTGTGCCTACTGTGCCGTTTACAAGATGGAAATGCACACGCTGAGGGAGGCCCAAGGTCAGAAGATTGTGATCAGCTGTTTCTCTGAGACTTGAGGCTAGAACACTAGAGTCCTGAACTATCAGAAGAGGGTAAATCAAACAATACAAGGCACTTTCACAGGCTGCCATACAAGCAAATAAGGAGACCACAGCAGCTGCTGACCTGGTTTGAGAGCCACTTGTGTCTGGAGTTTTCCTTTGCTTTTTTTCTCCCTTGTCCAAATTAAATTATATAATAAAGGCAGCAACTGTGGGTAACTCAGGGCATTTAGTTTTGGTTTTGGCCGTGTTCTGTTTACTGAAGTTAGGC